ATTTATAACTGCAGTCCTCAGAAACCCGAAGAGACTTTCCTCACCCACAAGGTCCCTCTTCCTCAAGCTGATCAAGGAGCAAAGAACCTGCCCAGCCAGCGTGGCTCAGTGGTTGAGCATCCACCTATGAACCAGGAGGTCGCGGTTTAATTTCTGGTCGGGGTACATGCCCAGGTTGTGGGCTTGATCCTCAGAGTGGGGCGTGCAGGAGGCAGCAGATCAATGATTCTCTCTCATCATTGATGTTTCTTCTCTCCCTCTCCCTTCCTCTCTGAAATCAAGAAAAACATTTTTTTAAAAAAGAAAATAAACAAAGAACCCTTAGAAGTAGTAAATAGGTTGTTTTGTTGGCTTCTCTCTTTGGATGAGTTCAAGGTACCAAAGATTGTGTCTTCCCCTGTGCATGCTCATTTGATTGATTTCAAAGACAGAAGGGTTTCACTGCTGGGGATTTGGAGTCTTTGGTGAAAGATGAGAAGGGGGCCTTGACTTGCTTCACCACACTAGCCTTGGTGTGCTATCCTCCTGTTCTCAGCCAATCTCAGGGACATCCTCCTCCTCAGAATCAGGTTCTCACAGGAGCACAGCTTTGTCAAGACCCTGAATCTCCTGTCTCTTGTTTTGGGACATATTTTATTCTGCACTGATCTCAAGAAAAAAAAATTAGAAGAACTATTAAAGGAGACCATCTGAACCAGAAAATTTGAGGGCAGATTAATTTTTTTCAAGCACTGTGTAATGTTAATTTATGCGTGGGTTGGGGGTTTATTTGTTCAGTAGCATTAGTGCAGGAAGGTGATCTACATCTCCTTTTGTGTCTCTGGGAAGCAATATATCTCGTTGTGTACCCAGTGTAGAGTTAATTCAGGCCTTAATTGTATTAAGCAAAGGGTGGAGAATTTAAAATAAAAGGGTTTCAATGATTCTGGGAACATGCATTTATTACTGTGATGAAAGAGCCGTCTCTCCCAGTCCCCATTTGCTGCCTTGTTTCAGTGCTCCTCATCTCCAATAAATCACACAGGCTGGGACCTGGTCCCTTGACTGAGAGCAGTGCCTGAAATGGATGCTGTAGGTTGCCTAATACAGCTTCCAGCTTAGGGCTTTCCTTTTTGACCACCATCTGGAATGTATGTCTTCCTGGAAGGACATCCTTTTACTGCCCTTGGCCTGACTTCTACCTTGGACTCAAGAAGAATACATGGGTTTTTCCCAATATTCCTGGAAATGAGTCACATAAAAGAATGATGTCATTCCCATCCTAATAGAAGATAATAATAATAATAATAACAATAGCTTAGGGCTTTCCTTTTTGACCACCATCTGGAATGTATGTCTTCCTGGAAGGACATCCTTTTACTGCCCTTGGCCTGACTTCTACCTTGGACTCAAGAAGAATACATGGGTTTTTCCCAATATTCCTGGAAATGAGTCACATAAAAGAATGATGTCATTCCCATCCTAATAGAAGATAATAATAATAACAATAACAATAATTAATAATAATGCCATTGCAGCAGACACTGCCTGATCCATTCAGATCTTCTAGAATCTTCTATTTGTTCACACAGTCATCCTTCCAACTCCCCTACTTTCTCCCCCTTATCCTGTTACTCTGCCCTTAGGGTACTCCAGGTGCTTTGCCTGCAGATGGTCCTATAATTTTGCACCCCCTCCTTCATCCACTCCCACCATGACTTTTATTCAGTGACTGAGTGGTGCAGGAGTATGAAAGCTTATCGCCCTTTTTTGCAAAGGAACGTGGAGAAATGCAAACTTTGAGATCCAGTTTATACTGTGGTCTTCTCCTGAAGGACTAGGCTGAAGCTGGGACTTTTCCTGAAAACGCACCTTTTCTGGGCTCCTTCTCCTCCCTGCCCTGCCTCTCCATTTCCTTCCAATGCTCTCTTATCTTTGTTTTGTGTCGGCTTCTGAAGAACCCCACCTAAGGCAACCACAACCTTTTAATTGAGCATTTAGTGCAGTTCAGTCACATTAAATTATTTGATTCTCACAAGAACCCTTTGCAGTAAATCATGAACCCTGGGCAACAGAAGAACACATTAGCCCATTTTTCCAAATAGCTAATAAATGTTGCAGCTGAAATTTAAACACAGACTCAAGCAACTCTAAGACCCATTCTCTGAATGTGTAACATATTTCTCTCAACAGAAAAAGTGTGTTACTAAGAGTCTATAGTTTTGCCATAAAACAGTAGCCAAGTTACTGGTTGACCGGCAGAACACCTGGAGTCACATCACCCTAGTGCTTTGGTGTGTGCATTTAGGCAAGTGGCTTCATTTTTCTAAACATTAGTTTCTTTCTTTATAAAGAAGTGAGTGTGGCTATGTGTCAATATAGCTTTCTTTTCAAAAACAGATGGTAGGATGGATTTGGTCCATGGGTTGAACAGTGTCACCTTTTGCCCTACAGTGATTCTGAGGTACAACCAGTGTATGAAATAACTTTTGTCTACCTTCAGAGCCTATATACTTTGCATTAATCTCTACTCTCTCCCTAACAGGTTTTGAGCTTAGAAAACAAAACAAAACAACAATACCCTGCTAGATGGTGGTTTTCAGTCTCCAAGCTTTAAGTAGAGTCCATAGCTTATCACCTTGCACAACAGCTTACTCAGGGGCAGATTCTTGAATTAGAGGCTTTGTGTCTGGAAAAGCAGCAAAGCGCTGTGCCTCAGACAGGCCTTGCATGCTTGGCCCTTGTGAATGAGGACAAGCATGACATCGGTACGCCAGATGTCCTCCGATTGCTCCTTGATACTCACTAGCCTGGACCATGAACCACGTCATACTTTGGATTTACGCTGAGGGTTCCAGAAGAGCTTCTCTCTAAATCACTCTCTATTTACCTCCAAGCAGGCAAGAAGCCTGGCACTACCCAAAGGTGAAGAAATCACCTAAAGCAGGACTCAGAGCGAGGAAAGAAGAATCTGGATGTGGCCAATGCCCGTCAGTAAAGCCACACTCCATTAGCATTGAAAGATAGCCCAATTATCCTCCATTTCAGCGTGCAGAAAAATGATGCCGCAACGTGACCTCGTACCATAAATCCCACACCCGTAAACACTCCCTATGCAATCAGTTGCTGCTCCAAATTGGTCTCATCTAAGGGAAACGGATAGTCAGTTCTATCTGTCAGCTAGGGAGATAGAAGCACTTACAGAAGGAGACCGTTCTCTGCTGCCTCAGCCATATGTGGAGAGGAAGATTGGGTTCTAGTTTAGTGAATGTGCTGGCTCTCAACCTGTAATAAGGCACAGCCTAGTGATGGAAAGACACCCAGCTTTTAGCCCATGAGCATGATTTTGCCAGCTCAAAAGGGTGAGTAAAAGTCCTGGAGTTCAAAATCAGGACACCTGGTTTCTGTTTTTGTGTAGGACTTGGGCAATGGTACAGGGAGGAGTTCTGGACCCAGAGTCAGATGACTTGCTTCAAAGTTCTAGTTCTCACAGTGATCGGCAGGGTGGTCCTGTCCAAAGTCACTTCCTGTGGCAGAGAAGGCTCTGTGTGTTCCCAAAGCCATTCTCAGCTCTTCCTGAGTACACCATTGAGCTATGTTTCCCAGCTCCTGGCAATTGGTCAGGCCATGTGGCTGAGTTCTGGTTAAGGGAATGTGGGTGGGAGGAATGAAGGTCACTGCTAGGCCTGGATAAAAAGAACCTCCCCTCATTCCTTCTGCCTTATTTAGAAGCATATGGGATCTTTCCAGGAACTGGAAGACCGTAAGGCTGATGAAGGAGCCAGGTTTCCTGAGTGTAGCAAAGCCTGTTTCGATCTCCCTATTCCTTCCACCACCCTCAGTTTGCCAACTGGACCTTATATAAGTGGTTTAAAGCATTGAGATTGAAGGAGTGATCTACATAGTTAGACTATATAGTTAGTGTTAACATCTTAATAACAACAATGGTGATAGCAACAGCCTTACATTAAGATAGCATTGGACCCTCATGAACTATCTCTTATGGTCTGCAAACAGTAACATTATAAGTTCCATTAATGTTCCCATTTCAGAGTCGAAGCTGAGACATACAGAGTGGGACACCTTTTCTAATGTCACACAGTGAATGTGGCGGAACTGTGACTGGCTTGGAACCCCAGTTTCCTCTGCATAGTAAAGATGGTAATGATCCGCCCCATCTACCCAAAATGTTACCGCGTGTGTCACAAGAGTTAGGATGTAGAGAGGCTGGAGGACTAAAAGCATCATATAAATGATAGATGCTGTTATTATTGATCTTTCTGAGCCTTGGTTTTTATAGCTATAACATTTGTTCCAGTTAATCACTATTTTTAACACAGTAACATGAAACATTTATGTGTTCCACAGAGGCAAGTGATGGTGACAATCTAACATTCCGTGCTATGTGAGTGGTATTTAGTGGCAATACATGGAAGAGAGAGTGGGGAGCGTGAAAGATGCAGCAACAAGAAGGCACTTAAGGATTTTTCTCTTATCTCATTCTCTTCTCCTCTCCTCCCTCCAAAAAAAACATCTCCTCTGGTCTGTAATTAGGCCTGCTAGCACTAATTGCTAGGTGGCATCCTAAGTGACCTCGTCATTTCTCAAGTGGCTGATATAATGTTCAGGGTAGGCCAGGTCTCAGGACCTAAGAAAATGGGAAAAAATAAGCTTTTATGGGTTTTTCTTTAAAGGAAAGATATAAAAGTATTCTAGAACATGTTAATTGATACTGTTGTTTGATTCTGATATGATTCTCAGTTCACGCTATATCTTAAGACATAAAGAGGTAGAAAAAAATCAGGTTTGATGACTTTACCTTTGGAAAAAGAAAACATAAGTTATTATACCATATATCAGTTGGTTCTGAAGTTTAACTCAAACTCAGCAGGGAAACATTTATGACAGATTTTTGGATTACATTTTTTAGCATGTCTGCCATCTAGTTTTAACTTGAACATCACAAGCTATGGAGTTCTGATGTGTTTCTGACTTGCAAAAATAATGTTTTATTTGGCCGGGTGGCCGACGTGGAAGTTTCTGACTGACTAGGCTTCCAAGGAAACCGCCTCCGAGCCACCCAAGGCCAAGTCAAGTGGAGGTGGAGGCACCGGGGATCCAGTAGAGTTGCTGCCAAGGCCGGGGCTTGTCTCTGATTATTGACAAGGACAGACAGGCACTTCATCATGGGTGGCTTTTTCTCAAGTATATTTTCGAGTCTATTCGGAACCCTGGAAATGAGGATTTTAATTTGAAGTTTAACTCAAACTCAGCAGGGAAACATTTATGACAGATTTTTGGATTACATTTTTTAGCATGTCTGCCATCTAGTTTTAACTTGAACATCACAAGCTATGGAGTTCTGATGTGTTTCTGACTTGCAAAAATAATGTTTTATTTGGCCGGGTGGCCAACGTGGAAGTTTCTGGCTGACTAGGCTTCCAAGGAAACCGCCTCCGAGCCACCCAAGGCCAAGCCAAGTGAAGGTGGAGGCACCGGGGATCCAGCAGAGTTGCTGCCGAGGCCGGGGCCTGTCTCTGATGATTGACAAGGGCAGACAGGCGCTTCATCATAGGTGGCTTTTTCTCAAGCATATTTTCAAGTCTATTTGGAACCCGGGAAATGAGGATTTTAATTTTGGGATTAGATGGAGCAGGAAAAACTACAGTTTTGTACAGATTACAGGTTAGAGAGGTTGTTACTACTATTCCTACCATTGGATTTAATCTTGAGACGGTAACATACAAGAACCTTAAATTTCAAGTCTGGGATTTAGGAGGACAGACCAGTATCAGGCCACACTGGAGATGTTATTCTTTGAACACAAATGCCATCATTTATGTAGTAGACAGTTGTGACCGAGACCGAATTGGCATTTCCAAATCAGAGTTAGTTGCCATGTTGGAGGAAGAAGAGCTGAGAAAAGCCATTTTGGTGGTGTTTGCAAATAAGCAGGACATGGAACAGGCTATGACTCCCCCAGAGATGGCAAATTCACTTGGGTTACCTGCCTTGAAGGACCAAAAATGGCAAATATTCAAAACTTCAGCAACCAAAGGCACTGGCCTTGATGAGGCAGTGGAATGGTTAGGTGAAGCATTAAAGAGCAGACAATAATCCAATCACTTTTGCTCTTCTGAAATGAAGACCACATCCCATGTCCCTTTGGAAATAGTTAAGTGTGCTTCACACTACTAAATGTTAGAGCTGTGTGTGATTGTTGGCATATACTGAACTGACTACACATTTGTAATAAATATGAAAAATAAGTACTTGGTTGGAAGGATAGCTCATCATGATTGAACCAACTGACTGGTCTGTATGATGTAAAACATTCCTTCCTTGCTTTCTTGTATTATTAAGGTACTAGTAGCCCGGTGCACGAAAT